TCTCTCTCTCTCTCTCTCTCTCTCTCTCTCTCTCTCTCTCTCTCTCTCTCTAGTGAACTGCTACCTTGATAGTCGAAGCAGACTTTCTGCTGTTGAGGCTAGAGAGGTGAGCAGAGTAAGCCTGATTCCCTGTTTGGACTTCTCTGTTGACATTCACTCCAAGGCGCTCATATGACCTTATGCAGTTGCAAGCGCTGTAAAACCTTAATAAAACAAAGCACAGCTTCAGAACAGAATTTTGAAACGTAACCTACTTTGCAAGCTGATGTGATAAAGAGGACATGTAAAAGAAACGTGTTACCGAATTTTAAATAGCAAAGCAGACAAAGTTTGAATAGGCCTAAACAGAATTGCAAACAGAACTCTTATTGAACGACATTTGGGCACTTGGAGACGAAGAAGGCAGTGGTTTGCATGCACAGCGGACGGACAGATCGAGCGTGGGTCGAAACCAATACATTTCCCGGGATAAGATACCGCGCCAAAACAAAGTGATATTATGAAATAGGGGAATAGAGGAAAGAGTTATTGGCGACGACAGTTATTGCTGTTATGAGAAAATACGATATGGAAATGGGAACAAGAAACGTGGGGAAAAAGAAAACAAACAATATATGAAAAGACAGAAATGGACGAAGAATGGGTCTACAGAAAAAACCCAGATCTGGAACGCATGATATGATTGCATCATATTGGGTTGCACATGCTGCATATTACTAGCGCAAAAAAAATAATTCTCTGTTCAATGGTTTCAGTATTAATATAAATCTCATTTTTTATCATTTCGGGGCTTTTCCTTGAAAACATCTCAAACGTTTACAAATGATGTACTTTTAGATGTAATTTTTCCGAGAGCACACTGTCTTTTGATGCGTACCGTGGTCAAATTGGCGCTAAGAACTGTAGACAGTTCTAGCAAACTGACTAAATAGATGACCATTTTTTAAAGTACGCAGATTCGTCCGAGTTTCATTTTTTCTGAATTCATTCTGCAATCCGCTGTTTAAAATTCTTGTACTCTACCTTTTTAAATAAACTTTTGTTCGTTACAACTGTTGTTTGAGCAAATAAAAGCCTGTTGTAAGCCTTTTGTTAACGCGACCTCGCTATGATGGTAGCAGCTCCGACACACAGAGTGTGAATATTATATTTTATGTACTCCTTTGGTGACCAGCGCAAGAAAAATCGTTCAAATCCAGGCCAAATGTTTCAATTGTGAAACGTTATTTCAACCTCAAGAGGATAGGATAAGAGGCCATGTGTTTAAGGGTTAACAAAAACAAATCAAAATTAAATTAAACGGAGTTAATCGATATTTTCGATGATCAATCTTAAACATTTCTCGACTTCTGTTATTCTCCGCCTTCCCGCCCCCCGCCCCCTCCCCCACACTCCCGTTTTCGTCTTTTTTTCAACTTTTCTTTCCCTACATCAATGGACCCAATTTTCAATGAGAGTAGTGGCAGCTGTTTTCTGCAAGAGACTCGATTACTAGAATACTGCCTCATCTTTTCTTCAATTCTACTTTTTTTTACACTGACAGTATTAAGTAGCTGATTTTCGTTCAGGCTCCGAACAGAATGTGTGTACTATCCTTACTTACTATCATGATGTCAGGGGCAGCCGATAACATGTGTGTGTCCTTTTTCAAAACTACGCATGAATGATAATTAAATAGTACAATTATGTATATTATATAATAAGCATATTTTCATTATGTCCAGTATGCTTCCCAAGAAGATGAGATTGTTTCAGAATGCTATCAGTTTCGCTGAGGTGATAATATAGATTACAAAGCATAGAGTTTGCTGTTGAGCGTGAATTATTATTATTGTTTTTATTGTTA